CGCTGAACTGCAGATAACAGTCAGCTGAAGTGGCCTGCAGTACTGCACCCTAACCACTGCGCCACCTCGGTTCTTATACTCTTAATTTCAAAAACTGTAGAATCAGGTTGCAGCATAACAAAATTGACACAAGTGAAGGGGGGGTCTGAATACTTTCTGAATTCTTCAGTATTCTGCAGTATTACTTTATTGTATTAAAATATCGTTCTCAATAAATAAATGTATGTTAATATTACCTCCCAAAGTAACCTCAAATCACATCACAGGGGTATCAAACTGGTGGCATGCGGGCTGAATGTGTCACATGCAGGCCACACCCACCCCAGCTCCGCGAAGGGAAAAAATGTCACAATATGTCCAGAGGTGGGCTGCTGCCGGTTCGGACTGGTTCAGGCAAACCAGTAGTTCCGACCGCCGGCTGGGTTTGCCCACCCTCCCCAGCGCTAGCCTGTCCTATTTATCTCACTCTTTGGCTTTGTTCCCCACCCATGAAGCCCAGCTGATTGCCGCACCGCACATGCTCTACTTACTGCGGCTGCTGAGAAGATATGTTGTGTGTTTGAAGCCGTGCGAAAGTGAGGAATACATGCGAGCGAAGCGAGAGAGAAAGAGTGCACACTCACATTTCCAGCGAACCAGTTGTTAATGTATGTTCAGCCCACCTCTGAATACGTCATGTGACGGCAACATGACGCAGTCAGTTTGACACCCGTGACAAACAGCAACATCTGGAAATGTTAAAGCCAAACCTGAAGAAAATAATGTACCATCTGGGATACTCACAGTTCCACAATCATCTTCATATAATAACTGGCTGAAAGTTTCCAGACCTGGAAAGAGAGATAGAAGGATATAACTTTATTCCTGAACACACAAGAAATATTGTTTTGAAGCCAGAATCACTAAGATATTCCAAAGATGCTTAAGTAAACAGTGGGTCTTGTTCCTAAATTTATAAACTTTCTTTTAAAGAGGGAAAATGGACAGACATAGACTGAAATGGGACTTATTTGTGGCACAACCTGCATTATATATGCAGAAAGTATGAGCTCTTCTTTTGAAAAGGTTGAGGAATGAAAGATGAAGAAGCACACATCGCTTATATTTCCTGTCTCATCTTTTCCTCTGAATATTTGCAGCAACAGCAAAGCCAACCACTAGTAAATACTGGTTGGGCTATTAATGTTTTGCAACCTAATTTACATTTATATATTTCCAATTGATTATAGTATAATATGGACCCCATCATAGACAGGTTACAACTGTCTACACTCAGCTTTTAACATGACCCATATTAAAACAATTAGCTTACTGTTTGGGAGAAAAGTCAATATAATAAAAGTTTTAACATAATATAAGAGTTGGGATTATATGCAAATCTGGAATTTGGGTCACCTAATAAAGCTAATTTACAAAGATTTAGGAAAAATAAATAAGAGGTTTTTTTAAAATACAATTCATAATTTGCAAATGTAAGGACCTGCCCCAGTTGGTCTCTCAGGAAAGCAAAGTTCTTGAATCCATTGAATTGAATCAAAAGAACTTTTACTGAAAGAATGTGGTTGCAATAAAGTCAGGTGGTATCTGAAAACACCCATGCAAAGCACAAAGCAATTCTTTCATGTCCCCAAACCCACCCCCACCCCCCATACCAGTTCATCGGCAGCCAATGTGATGCCGCAAGGTTGTTTTGAGAACACAGTTCAACTCTAAGGGCATGACGGCCTTGGAACCAGGGAGGGAGTCTGTTCCATTTCTGAAGGCAATGCCCATCTTAATTCCCAAGCAATTACAGCAAAAGCAAAAGCATGCGAAAAATGCTAGCAAGCCATTCTCCTCCCACCTTTCCAACAGAATGCCAAGACATGATAATGGACCTGACAGCAATATCCATTGCCACAGATTGTCGACACTGTCAATAGATGGTTTTCAAAACAGAGTAGACGTTTGAAAGGACATAGGTTTATATCAGTATTAACCACAATTGCTAAAAAGAATCTCTATGCAGAAAAATGATTTTTTTTCCAAGTGATGCTTGGAACATTCTAAAGTTCATTGTGATAATTAATGATTAGGACACTTCATTGAATATTATTACAATAATAAATAATTATCACAATGATAAGAGCATGCTGGGTGAGTAGGAAATTTCCATCCTCTGTTATTTTGAGACTCACCTCTTAATATTCCCCAAACTTTGTCTGCTTTTAACACAGATGTGGGCTTTGATACTTGGAGATGATCTTAAAAGGGAAAAAAATATTTAGCATGGAATTATTATTCAGTAAAACAAACCATGAGACAACCACTTAGAAAATTAGCACACTGAGTGCTTATATGTGCAAACCAAATGTGGAAGCAGGTGTTCTATGGGTCTAATGAAAGGAAACTAAGCCCATTTAGAGCAAATCACTTTCCCACTACAAGCAGCCTCTAAGGAATAAACATTTCTTGACATCAGGTCTCATATTACTTGTGATTTCCCAAACCGAATGAAGTTGCTCAGGAAACAGGTTTGTGTACCTGATTCACACCTCATCTGCTTTTGCAATGGAACAAGATAAATCAGCAAATATTTCTAAGAAGCTCACAGTACTGCATATGGCTACAACATAATTTTTTTCTCCATGGATGTGATCAATAGGTGTTGTCGTACTCTAATGCCTTTTATATGCACTAAGGTTTCTAACGAAGGTGCAAAGACAAAGCACAAATGGAAATGTGTGAGGTATTTCCCTATCTATGTCCGTTTGCGGATACATTGCTCTGAAAAGGAAATGAAATTTCATCCAGCTTAGAAAATGTTCAAGGTCTTTCATTCAGACACCCACATCTCTGAATATATTAGGGGAAAAATAATGTTAACAGGATCACAATCAAGCTGCATTCCTTCTACTGAAATTAAGAATCTTTTTAAATTCAACATTATGTCATCCTCACTTCACAGAGAAACTTTTATTAAAAATAAAGACTTTAACGAGATGAGAAAAAAAACCAAAATCAGTGCATTGACTCCTGAGCATGTGGAATCCTAAACAATTACATGGGGAAGGAGATGGAAAAAGTTTCAGAATGAGGAATTGAATCGTGTATCTTTGAGAAGGAATTATCTGATAGAATATTAGATTTTATTGTCAATCCCATTTGTGTTGATCAAATATTTCAATTATCAAAATATATACATCTAGTTTGCACAGTGAATTATTTGACTGGGTAAATAACATTCATCTCCATCTATCTTTATAATTCGATAAGCTATGAGTAATGGATTGTGAATATAACTTTGTAAATCAGCAGGAACGCCATAGCCTTCAGGTCACAAGTGAGACAAAAGATATATCAAGCTAGAAGGAATGGGGATGTGGGAAATGTCTCAGAAGAAATCCTCCCTAGTTCTCTGGAAAGTAAAGGCAGGGGAGGGCAGAAGTGCTTTCAGATATGCAAGATTCTATTACTCAACCTAGTGAAGCTCATGATTTTGGTTTCTTATCTGAACTACCATAAAGGACTGATACTATATAACTATATCATAAATACATATATTAGTCACAATGAGTCTTATTAAAGAAATTTTGACTTACAATATCACAATATTTTATTCAATTACTCACCAGATAAAATTTTAGATAAGAAGGTGGTTATTACAGATGATTAAAATAGCGTCCAATACAGTGGTAGGATTCAAATTTTTTTACTACTGGTTCTGTGGGGCATGGCTTGGTGGGCGTGGTGTGGCTTGGTGGGCGTGGCTTGAGGGCATGGCAGGGAAGGATACTGTAAAATCTCCATTTCCACCCCACTCCAGGGGAAGGATACAGTAAAATTTCCATTCCCTCCCCACTCCAGGGGACGGTTACTGCAAAATCCCCATTTCCTTCCAATCAGCTGGGACTTGGGAGACAGAGAAACAGATGGGGGCGGGGCCAGTCAGAGGTGCTATTTACTGGTTCTCTGAACTACTCAGAATTTCCACTACTAATTCTCCAGAACTGTTCAGAACCTGATGAATAGCACCTCTGGTCCAATAATATACCCATAAGAAAATAAGGAAGACAGAAGACAGGCACAATTCTATACAGATTTATATTGTCAGATACTCACAGGATTCATCTGATGTAATACTAGGGAATTTATCACATTCGGAATCCTTTGAAGTGATAATCACCTGAAGCAAGGACAATTCTGTTTCACATAGGGATTTTTTCTCATCTTGATTTTGCCATTTGGAATAGCCAAACATATATTCATAATATCTGGAAGTAAATTCAATGGCACAGAAAAATGTTATTCAAAGTTTGCTTTCTAGCAAGATAGTCACAAACTGGAGAAACCCAAATCTAATAATTCAAAAAGAGACAAGCTATTGTTTATTTTTTCATAATAGAGAGATATATAGTGTTAACACTTTGTGTTATTTTAACGAGTTTTCAAATTATTTCTGGTCAGAAATAATTTCTTTGAACCTTGATCCCCACAGCAAGATTTTAATCAACAATGGTTTCATTCCGTTGAACCATGGCTTGTTCTAACTATAATGGTTGAGTTCAAACATTGAAATAAACTGAAAGTCAACAAGATAAAAAATAGCTTAGCATATCTGCATAACTTCCAATTACTGAAACAGAACTTTTAAATCGATCTGAATATACCAATTCTTTGTTAAACCTTGGGTTTTGAAATTCAGAAAAAAAAATGTATTATTTTTAAGATCCTCTCTCAACACCTACCCACAATTTTCAGCCAACATAGAAACTAGTTGCAGCAACAGCCTTTGGATGGATAATGTCATAACACTGCTGCACAAATGATGTGAATTCGGTAATCTGGTTACCTTGTGACGTTATTACTTCATTTGTGTGATTATTTATTTTTAAAATTTACATGCCGTTTGCAGTGATTCTGAGCAATTATTGCGTTTAAGATGCTACTTGTTTTCAGCTGCAGACACTTTATGTTGACAATGGTATATTCTAAAGGTACCAAATTGGGAAAAATTGTTCTAAATTGAAAGGCAGTTGTCTCTGAGATCACTTTAGTGTAATTATCCCACCTATAATGGAAAGGAGCATTAACCATGCATTTCCTGCTGTCTGTTGCTTCACTGAATCTCCAGAATCTCCACCATCAACATTTAAAATTTATCTGTAAAAATGCATATTTTTATACACTTGGATTCTAGATGTTATGCAATAGTCAGTGCATTCTTTTATTGGTACCAGACCTACAACTATCCCAAGTTAGTTTAAGTATCAGAACAGACAAGAATCATGCACTTTCAAAAATAATGAGAACACAGGCTTCCAGTGTGAGTCTTGGCTGACTAAATAATGAACAAAGATGCCAGATGCCAGAATAAAAGACCAGTTAGTAAACAAGCTCTTCGCATTTTTTCGGAGAGGGAGAGATTGGGAGATCTTTGGTGAGTGCTGATAGGCAGCTCATTGTAAGAAGACTCTAAAACACTTGTCTCCTATGGGTTTGAGACAGTGGTGAAATTATTATTTTTTACTACCGGTTCTGTGGGCGTGGCTTGGTGGGTGTGACAGGGGAAGGTATACTGCAAAATCTCCATTCCCTCACCACTCCCGGAGAAAGATACTGCAAAATCCCCATTCTCACCTCACTCTGGAGCCAGCCAGAGGTAATATTTGCTAGTTCTCCGAGTACTTTACTCTCTGAGAGTAAAATGTATTTTCTAATCGCCTTTAAAAATGGGAACTTAATTTGACATGTGGTGAGTTTTATGTTCTTCAGATTTAAGAAATATTAAATAGAGTCTCAAAAATTTTAAATAATATACAATTGGCAAAAAGCAAGAAAAAGGATTTTGATTTAGGAAAGTTTGAAATGGATCAGAAAACCAGAAGTTTGAAATATTGATATTTTTTTTGCTGCAAGTCTTGAAAAACAAGTATATAATTAAATAATATACTATAATAGAATTAAACTCACATAGGAAGTAAGGTTTATTAAAGTTGAAAATAGATACTGGAAGGAACCAAATCACCAGGCTGAAAAGAGTTCAAATGAATGAAAACTATATCTATCTATATCTATATCTATATCTATATCTATATCTATATCTATATCTATATCTATATCTATATCTATATCTAT